AATGGGTGGGGGTGGGCAGGAAGTAGCAAATGGACCTTTAAAGTAGGCTGCAGGGTGGGGTGGGGGGTAACCTGACCTTACAGGGAAGCAAGGGGCAGGACACACTGTTTATCAGGTGCAGAACTCCATCCTCATAAAACCCTAATGAGAAGGGTAGCATTCTTAGCCCAATTTTATACATGAGGAAATGGTGCTTCAGCACGGGTAAGGGGCTGGCCCCAGGTCATGTGCTGTAAAGGAGAATATGTGAACATGAACTTGTATGATCCCCAAAACACCACCCCAGGCCTGATGCTTAGGCCATCTAGACATTGACCTTTAGTTTTTTATTGTCACCATCAAGCTGTGACCTGTGACGGGAGAGAAACATGCCCATTTGGCTGGTTCTGAGTGAAAAATGAAGGCATGCAGGGAATTCTTCCGTACTGCTATTCTCTGCAGAGACCCGGCTCTGGAGAATGGAGTCCATTATTTTAAAACAAGAAAGCACATCATGGGAAGTCATTCCAAAGGAAGTAATTTAACGTAAAGAAATGGCTGCAGGTGCAAAAATGTCTATCCCTAGATTAGATCAGGGGGACAGTGCAAAAATCCCTTAAATTTCTAACCACAGGGAACTGTCAGGTATATTATGATGCTCATGGGAATGCTATGCACCCAAGAACACGGATCATCATGAAAGCTCTTGAGCAGCCTGGAATGCCACACATGTGCTGTTCCACAATGACCAGAAAACAAACAGGGTGGAGAATGAGGGCTAGGAAAATAAATGGATCATAAATGTCGGTTAAGCTCTGGGTAGTATTTGTTAAATGCCCTCATTTCATATTTGTATATTTTTTACAAGGTAACGAAGTCTCTTTTTGCGGCTGTAAAAGCAAAGCCTTTACCCCTTACCCTGCCACATACCCATTCTAGAGTCAGAAATTGTATTTCTTTGGATCAAGAATTTTGTGACCTGTTAAAATAAAAATCTCCCTTCAGGCATAAGTCATGAGGTCATTATTTCATCTCCCTTCAAAGAGACAGTTTTAAAAAGGATGAAGTCTAGAAAAGCAAAATTTTGATTAAGAAGTAGGTACTAGGTTAGCCAAAGAGGCCTGGGGTATTGTCCAAAGAAGGCAGGCCCTCTCAGGAAGTCTAGTGACCAGAGGGTCCTGGGAGGCCATGCATGGGTATGAGGGTATGGCCATTGTCCAGTGCTCTGACAGCATCATGGCAGGACAGAACAGGCTAAGGACCTACAACATAACATGTGGTGGAAGATAAATGCTTTGTAAGATCAGATGCCCTCATCTCACATTTTCACAAATCCTCAGAGAAGAAATTACGTTTGTTTCCAGGGATTTCCCCAATAGTGCTCAATAAATATTTAAAAATTAATCAATGCCTATGATCTTCATCCCCCAACTAATTTCTATAGAAGTGATTGCACTTTTCCCCATTTTGCAGTTGAGCCAATGAGGGCTGTAGAACGTGAGTGATGAAGAGCATAAGGAGAGTTCGTAGCACAGGTAGGACTAGGGCCCAGGACTCGTGACTCTACAGTGAGGACCCCAGGGTCCCTGCCTGGCCAGAGGCTTGACTGGAAAGTCTTCCTTCCCCTGTTCTCTGGAGTTTGAAGGGAGGGGCCACTTGACCTCTTGCTTCTGATTTTGGCAGGACCCAAAAGGTGAACTGCCCATAGGTCCCAGCCCTGGGAGGCTATGGGTAAAAGCAATGAGAACTGTCTTTGACTACTCACAGATCAACACAGCCACCCGTCTGCCCACGCCACTTGACATGCTGATTTAGAGCCTGGACTTTGAGGCAGACATATCTGAGTTCGAATTCTGGCTCATTACACACTAGCCATGTGTCCCTAAGTAAGTTCCTCAACTTCTCTGAGCCTCAGTTTCCTCACCTGTAAATGAGGCCATGAAAGGTTTCTACTTTAGAACATTGTTGGGAGGATTCAACGTAGCAATGGAGGTTAAAAAAAAATTAGTAAGTGCAAGTGCTCAATCAATATACAATAACTTCTGTATTATTTGTTGAAGATCATTTCTTCTGTGCCTTCTGGGTGTCAGGCCTGGAGCTGGGAGCTGAACACACTGAGACCAGACAATGTAATTCCTGTCTTAAGGGACTCAGGGTCAAGTTGAGGAAGGAGAGAAGGGGTGCTTTGATGGTGCAAGCATAGTATGTTATAGGACCACAGAGGAGGGCCATCTAATTCAGCCAGAGGAAGGCTTCCTGGAGGAGGTGACATCTGAGCTGGGTCTTGGCAGCTGAGAAGGGGTTAGTGAGGTGAAGGACGGAAGGAAAGACACCTCAGGCCAGAGCAGAGGCATGGGAGCTGCCACACACTAACTTCACAAAGTCACAGGAATGCATATACGTTCACAAAGTCACCCATAGTGATAGCCACAAATACAGGCATTCAAATGGGGACGCAGACTTACAGAGAAAAAGACATACCAACAGACACAGGGGCAACACAAAGGACTCACAGATAGAAACACAAGCAGTTCCAGGAGAACTCATTCAGAAACAAGCACACACACACACAGTCACAAATGTACACATTTTTTCTCTGAGATTTAGAGGCCATTCAAAGCTCGGGCCCTGAGACCATACCCAGACCGTTTCTCTGTTCAGCTGACAGCCTAGAGCAGTGCTGGCAGGTTTCAGATACCAGCAGTTCTTTTGAATCCAATTTCCTCATCCTCTAGCCAGATCAGTGGCATCCATGGCAGGTGACAGATTGTGGGTGGGGGTTGGGCAGGAGAGGGCACTGGAAAAAGATATATCGTGGGCTGTGCCCAGCCTGGGCCCTAGCTCTGCCTGGCAAG